AGGCAAGGGCAACCAGAGACTTTGGTGGGTGGCGTGGGAGGTAGGGGTGATGGTTGAGGAAGTGTAAGTAGGTTTGGATGGCCTCGGACCAAGCTGAGGGTATGTTGCAAGATGGTCTCTTTGATGTGAAGAAGACTGCAGAGACGCCGACTAGGGTACAGCTTAGAGAGCCATTCAGTGTAGGAGGGGGCGGAGGGATGGGGTGTGAAGGAATAGTAGCTCGAGAGCATGCCCTGAGGGGTCCTTCGTAGCCTCTTGGTGCTGACTTTGTCGATGCTAGCGTTGGTGAAAGAGCGGTATGGTATTTTGTGGCGCAGTGACGTTTTTTTGCAGCAAGAGATGATGCCACCAGTGCTGGCGAGCGGGTCGGAGGTCACAGAATTCGATCCGGACTGGCTGTTGGTGAAAGTCAACGATGGTGTACCGTTGAAGAAACGCAGCATGTTCCGGTTCTCGCATTTCCCTAGGTAATCACTGTAATGAGTATTGAATTTCGTGGCGCAGTGACTTTTTCCTCAGAGAGAATCGTAGTCGGCAACAGTCGCCAGACGATATAAAGCAGTACATGCGACAAGTAGTTCTGCATGGGTAGCATGCCCTTGAGTAGTAGAGATGCCAGATACCAGCGGGAACTCCGTCCTGGGCGCGATACGCAGACTTCCACCTCCTAGTGTACATCACGTTACTCCTCGATGAGGACACAGCAGGTGGGCCGGCTTGGGGTGGAGTGTCCGACTGTGTCCGACCGCCGCGTGCTTCTCGGTTCAGCGTACACTGACAGGTGCAATAGCGGGGAGTATATCGAGAGAGGAGGAGATCGACAAGGCAATGGATGAGCTGTTGACTAATATGGCTGCTTGAATAGAAGCGAACAACTCTCCTTTATCTATCACTACTGTCTTGGGTTGAGTTCAATGCATTGGTGAATGAACGCTCTTGGGAAGGTCTGGCGGTCTGCGGCTCTTTGGAGGTAGCAGGATGCACTCAGCACTGCACTTTTGGGTGGACGGGATAAGTTGATTATCATTATTGTAACAGCACAAACATGTGGGGAGAGGTTTTGCTCGGTTGCTCCAGTGGAATTTCAATGCTACTACGAACGACAAAAAACGCTTGGAAGCTGTCGCCTTCTGTCGCTCGTCAAAAGCGTACATTCAATAGCAGCAGTAGCGAGGTGGAGAAGTACGCGGACATGCCTGCTATAGCTGTGCACAAGGGCTACAAGATCGTCATGTCTCTCAGTGTATGCAGACTTCCGACGGTGTAAGTGTACGAGACTGTGGGAGAGTCCCTATTGCGGGCTGCAGTTATAGGGCTTCGTACACTAGTGTTATGTTTGCAGAAGAATGCTTTCATGGACAGTTTTCTTATTGTTAGTGATGGTGTAGGTATACGGAGCCTCTATTCATTCGAGAACATCGCGAGTGGCGAGCAGAGTGGGAGGAACGAACAGCCAACCAGTTGGAAATTGCCGATAGTTTAGTTTACCAGAACTTCCCCCATCATTTTCTCCCTAGCCGACGGGTAATTTTGTGGCGCGTGACGAAGGAGTAATGGTCGATTTGGTTAGGAACTGGCCCTATTACGAGAAGGCTCACAGACGGACATTTTGCAACAAGAGGGTGGTACGGTTGTGAAGATGTCAGAGTTGGATAAGCTCATCGCTGAGGAGGTGATCTTAGCTCTTGAGTGCTGTGGGTAGAGTAGAATAGAAGTGGCGAAGGTGTGGTATTGATAATGATGAAAATGCATGAAGGCTAGTGTGCTTCCTTGAGTAGAGCATTTTATAATGCTGTGAATCATCAGGGTCTATCGGGTTTGGAAGGCCAACTCGGTGGTGGACGGAAAAAGAAGAAGAAAGAAGACACCTTAGCAGGAACTGAAAAGCAGAGAACTCTAAAAGAAGTAGTGGTCCATCGATCTGCGCAGGACTATGGGCATCGTATGAGGTTAGAGCTCGTGACAGATGCACAACACGGATCGTCGAGGAACGGAGATGCTGTGGTTACTGGTGAAGTATCGCGGCTCGACCATCTGGACGTTTCCTTACTCTAGTCATCTACAGGGCGACAGCGCGAGAGAGGTATGTTCGAGGGGCCGTGAGGGAGATGAGGAGAGCTCCTTGTCCTTAGACGCTACAGCGGATATGTATGGCTCAGCTGGGAGAGGCATACAAGCCCTATTTCGTGGGTGAGGTTAGTCAGTGCCTCTGCAGTACATTTACATCAACAGGTACATGCCCTATGCATTACCGCAAGTTCACGTCGTTACGGTATGCCGAGGAGGAAGAGACTGTTATTGGCAGCAAGGTGAAGCTGTCTCGAGCCTCATCCATTACTGTCTAAGTAGCATACTGGCAGGTTTTCTATTACCGGGCTATCCATCTACCTTCGAGTATACCGATTACTCTTAGTCCGGATGGTCCGGTGGAGGACTTTGCGTGGGTGGCCCGGGCAGAGCTCCTCGACTATGTTGGGGAGGTAGTAGGTCGGCATTGATGATGATAACAGTCTTGTGCGTCTGTAGTCAGCGTGGTACCACTACCGTCGATGCCTGCCGTTGGACTTCTTGCCAGGTCAGGAGTCAGTTGCTGTGGGTGAGCAAGATGCTACAGGTGCACGCTCCTGAGCATGGTGTTGTTGGTTTCTGTCCTAAGAGTGTTTCTCGAGTTCTTTCACACAGCGACGGTATCATGCCGGTTCGGATCGTTGGGTTTGGCTTTCTGATGGTGGTCGACTCTTGCTGTTATCGAGCTGTTCCTGGAAGCAGTGCTCTAGTATATTATCCTACCTTAGAATAGCGCTTAGGATGCTCCTTATCGCTCTATCCTTCGTGGTGCTCACGATGTGTCTTGAAGTGTCTACTGCCTGAAGTGACTAATGCACGATGAGAGTCAGCGTTGGGCGTGGTCCCATGGCCCATTCTATTCTCTCGGCTGCACCTTAGCTATGATGTCATTGCTTCCCTGTATAAGATATTAATACCCTCACTATCGGTAACAGTGACAATGGCGGCAGTGATATCATCGGGAAGATCGCTATCATGTTCTTAAATGCTGACTTGACGTTTGCATGAGGCGATCCTGTTCGAGTAGCGTTTTGGTGAGGAGATGGATCCGCGGGGTCCTATTCGTTTCGTCAAGGCTATCATGCGTTTCCAAGCTCCTTATTGTCATGGCAACATTCAGGACCGTTGCAGAGCGAGTATATGCAGAGGCACTGCTGCGCTACGCTGATGGTCGCAGTTTAGTAGCACTTGCCGATACCGACAGTTTCTTCAACAACTACGTCAACGCGAGAGGTCTCTGGTCTGAGCTGATCCTTCAGCACGATCCTATGGGTGAGTACTTCAAAATAGGGCTGGTTGTGCGGTCTCGCCGTCCGACATGTCTACGATGTGACATAGTTCATTTCTGTCTAATCTCAGCACATCCCTCCGCTTGCAAGTCCATTGAGGAGCTAAAGTCCACAGCTATAGACCTTGATATGAAGGAGGCGCCATTGCGGGTTATGGACACTACTATGGTGAATGCTGAGATAGCCGTAGAGAACTACTGGGGAGCTCAGGGGGCGCACTGTGTAGGTCAAGGCGATTTTCATGATCCTCGTCACAAGGCGTGGTCAAGCGCGATTGGTTGTTCGAATAGTAGTGAGTTCCTTGACTGTCTTGCTTGTCAGCTCGTATTGTCCGATCGGCTCGGTCTGCTGCTGCTCATCGCAGGAGGATACTATGGTGAATCTTCTGGGGGTCTAGAGAGCCGGGTAGGCCCGGGGGGGGGGGCAAGGGAGAGCTAATCCATAATATGGACAACTGTAGCTGTGTCTGAGTCAGCGTACCTCCCTTTGTTTATCGTTGTTCGTGTTTGTGAAAAGATTTTGTATACCACAATGTCATCAAGTGTAATTTGTAAACTTCACATTGTTTCAGGCCCTGCGATGTGCAGCAGTAGTGGACACCACAACGTCGCCAGTCACCTTGACGCCATGCCATTTCGATGCTCCACGGTCCCTCAACATGCACGGTGCTGCCTGTGACCTCATCACAGATGACTTCTCGTCATCGACCATCAAAGCAGATGTCTATGCATTCGGGGGAGGCAATCATGTGGCGGCCACTGCCGACCTCATGCGCCTTTCCATAGAGTACACCCATGGCGTGATCCTGGACGATCGGCCTAGCCTCGTATGTGAAGTAGTGCAGCCAGTGGTAGCATCCTCGAGGCCCGTGGCTCGCTCTGGGGCTCAGGGTGTGCTGTGGGAGGGCACATTCCTCCTACATGCTGGCCGTGGGGTTAATAATGTGTTCCTCGATGATCTGTGGCAATTCGACTTCACTACACGGACCTGGCGAGAAGTGGAGGTCACCGGTCCATCGCCGCCTCACCGGCTATGGCACAGCTCCCAGCGGGTCGGCTCGAAATGGATCGTCTTTGGTGGCGCTGAGTGGCGCTTTAGTCCTGAGGAGGTGAACATGGACGACAGTGGGAAGGTGTGGATCCTGGACCTGCCGACTTTGACGTGGACCAGCATGTGTGATGCTTCTGGTGTGGGCCCCCCTCTACTGCTCGGGAATGCTCTTGTGGCCGTCTCGGCTAGGGAGGTGCTCACTTTCGGCGGCTGCAAGACGTATAACTACGACCGGATGTCGAGAAGCTATGGGAATCTTTATGAGGATATTTGCGCACCGTGGAGATTTGATCTATCGAAGCGAAAATGGGCAAAAGTGAGGCGATTATGACTAGGGTGTAGGTTAACCTGTTCGAGCAGGTGTGCTGTCAAATCACACCGTATGAAGATGTCGATCGGGCAGTACTCGAAACTCGTTTCCGAAGTCACTGTGGTGCTGCTTATCTGAAGTCCCAAGGGAAAGTCTACGTCTTCGGTAAGGACACAATCTGGTGGGAACCACAACTAGTCTCCACACTTTATAATAGTATTCCACTTGTTTAGAGGATGTTCACCTTGAGCTCGAGGCTTGTTAGCATTTGAGGAGTAGGGAACCTCTTTAGTTGGAAACTGTTGTGGCCAGTAGAGGAAAAATGCATATGCTCAACTCCATTTGTCGGCCACAGTATCAAAATTTTGACGAAATTTTGAGAAATTCTTTGTTGATCTCTGTACACGTCTACCCGAACTCATGTGTAATCGTCTCTCATCAGCGAGTAGCTAGGGAACTCGTGAACTAAACTGAGGGAAGCAATATATATTCCAACGCTGATGTATGTCTTCCTGTTACATTCTGATAGACAGCTTGGGCCATCCTGCTGATGATGTATGCTCAGGTGGAGCTCGATACTTCTATGGCGAGTACTTCCATGATGTCATCGTATTCGATCTGGACGAAAAGCTCATCTCGGAAGAACATCCGAGGCCCCGTCTGAACATGCTACATGGGGTGCGATGGACCCGGCAGTTCCGGCTCACGCCTGGGGTCATCGGTCGTGCCCGGTGCTTGGTAATGGGAGGGGGGCGCCTGGGGTTGGATATGACGCTTGTATCTCAGGCCCGAGATAGGTTGATTTCTCGGGAGGTGTTGAACAGTCTGATTTACACTGACGGCGACCAGGATGAGGCGATGGTTGTTGACGATGCAGACTCTCCAGGCTATACCAGCGAATAGGGAGGACTCGCTGTCTTTATTATTCGTACTATTGCTCCCTGTTATCTGTTGTGTTTTGTGTCGACTTGGACGGCCGCAGTCACGAAAAAAATAACAGCAGTTGATCATAAATGCCGGCGGAAGGCAGCAAGATGCAGCTGAAGGCGTATAGGCTGCTGCAGCCGGTGCCGCTCCCTGCAGACTCGACGCACCTACTACCCCGGGACACGCTCTCGGAGGGATTTGTCAATCGTACACTATTCGAGGTGAGTTGCATTACCTCTACACGAAGACTATGAGAGAGCGTGCTATTCTAGTGCGCTGTCGATGGCGTGAATCCGATAACAGTTTGTCAGTTAAACGGAGCTGTGGTAGATACTGTGTCGAAAAGCAGGAGCAACAGACCCAGACAAGTCGAGCATTTACGGCTATCTCTCGAAGGTGCCTCCGAGTAGTAGCAGTAGTCAGGAAGGTCCTTCGAGCCGGTGGATGAAGGGCTGGTCACAGCAGCAGGAGGAGTTGATGCTACCCGTTAGAGTCGTACGCCTTCTACCCTTCCCACAAAGCCTGCCTGGAGAAGTGGAGAGAGCGTAAGAGCGCGGTGGCATGGCTTGTGCAATACCACTCCTCGGGCTAATCGCAGGTGCTTTGCGGCGCCCGAGGCATCCATGGCGCTACATTTGCCTCCTACAATACTCACAGCCTTGCACCTTACTGTGGGACGGTCGAAGGTAGGGCTGTTACGATCACCGTGGGGCGGTGTGTACAGGTGAACTTGTGGAAATTATGGGAGGAAAATTGAGGAAAATCTTGTTGCTTTCGGTACACTTCTACCCGAATTCGTATGCAAACTTCTATAATACGTGGGGTAACTCCTGAGCTCACCTGAGGAAAGTGAACATACATTCCAACGCTGCGTTGGGGACTCTCTGACCGGCTCATCTGCGCAGGTGTCTTGCCGGCCGAGCACTAAGCCACCGTTGAAGGCTAAGAGCGTACAGATGGTCGAGGTGGCGTTTGGACGTAAGTCGACTTCGTCACGGATGGTCTTGTGATTACCGATTGACAGCGCTCGGCCAGCGTGATCGTTCGCTCCAATCTCGTGCACTTGGTGAGTTCCTCAAGGTCCCACGGCTGATGAAGGTGGATGAGCTTTTCGGGGTAGGTCTCCGGTCATCTCTCGGGTCTATCAGGCTGATACACAGGTACCAGCATGGGGGGTCAGACGCGGCCTGTGTGGTATGGAAGGTGTTGATGTCACTAGCTTGAGAGAAGAGGACGCCTATGATTTATTCGATACAAGTAAAAGAGCGGCCGTCAGAACTGTCATGGCGACTGCATAGTCTATCGTATCCATTTCTCTGGACCCTGTCTTAGTTTCAACTATCACTAGAATTATAGTGACAAGTCATGGAATTGACCGGGAGATAGTGTTGCATAGGTGCTTCGGAAGCCGCCCCTCGTGATTGGTTTAGCCCACATCGGCGACTCCAACGTGCTCGAGCTCATCCGGTATACGGTACCGCTTTCGTTGACATGATGTAGCGTCAGCGTACATACACTTCACCACTACCTTGTTCCCGTTAGATACTTCCGAGTGACAAGCGCTACTTTGGAGAATGGCCAGTCGGCGGCCACAGATGGTTTGAGTTTTTATATGAGTTCCAGAGATACGGAAGTGATCATGCGGACGAGCGAGCCTCGGGGTCTAGACAAGTGCTGGGGCAGTGTGAGTGGGGGGATATTCGGGAGGGTCGGTATCACTTCGAAGATGTGGGGGCATCGGCTATGGTTTTGCCATGTTATTGGACTTTGGGAATGTACTCGACAGCTCTTACTTGGTTATCTCATGCTGTGAGGGGGCTCTTCTGAAGCGCCTTGTTGCAGATACCGCTGCTGCCCGCCTTCTTCACAGCAACTCCTCGCTCACTAGGCATGCTACCGCAGCTAGCTGCCATATCGAGGGAGATCATAGCCGCTCTGTCGGTGGGCAACATGGTCCTTGTCACAGGGGACAGAGGTTCGAGGAGAGCACCGTGTCAACCTCGAAGATTCCGCGCTGTTTTAGGAAGTGGCAAGATATGCTGCATTCGCGAGGCATCGAACTGTATGGGTCTGTCTGTCGGCGTCATCACCTGTGGAGTGGAGGCTAATACCGTCGCTGATATCTGTAGGCTCCTTCGGTTCTGTCAGTGATCGTCTGTCTGGCTGCAACAAGCGCCGTCGTAGGACTGCTGCTGCGTTCAGTCCCTATAGTGGAATCCCTCGTGAAAGGGAGTTCTGCACAGTCGGGGAAAACTCCAGGAGCAGTGGTGCTTCTAAGGAATATAACGGAGCTCTTTCCCACTGCAGCTGAGGCTTCACAGGAAGAGGTCAACAGGACCGGTCGTGTCATCTCGGGTAAATACGACCCCTTAACGACTCCCTTCGTGGAGTTGTGCTCGCCTTGTGCAGGTTCTCTCAAGGCTGTACGGGACAAGCTGCTCGACTACGGCGTCCTTCTTGCCGCTACAGCGACCAACGTAGACGATCTTGACCGAGAGGTGAGACCCGGGGCGGCAGAGGAGTTGAGTGGCAACCGAAGGTCTAGGGAAGCGTTTATGGTATCACTTGCGGCAGGTGGTGGACCTATTCGAATCGCATGTCAACTTGGTACGAGCTGATGATGCCATGCGTGAGGAAGTGATCGAGCGGATGCTGAGGGCCACTCAGCTTAGTCTACCTTTGAATCCTCGATTGATAAAGGAAGGTACATATAAGCTCCTCGGAGTCGTACTGATGGTATTGTTATCGACAAGGCACGGCTGGCCTTTCTATTGGAGATGTCCTTAATGCTCTCACGATGCTCACATTGCTACCCGAGGGTTCTGAGGAGGCAGCAGCTCGAAAGGCGTTGAAGGAGTTTCAACAACGGCAGTCGGGCTCTGCTGCTACCGTCATGAGCGGGGTTAAAGTACGTGTAACTGCAGGTAGCCGCTTTGGATATCGTTTGGATAGGTCCATTGGGACGACGTGGGCGGCATGGACGAGGCGAAGCGAGAGCTCAGGCATTTGTTATCTTCGATGGAGGCGAGGAAGCAAGGGAGTACCAGACGGCAGAAATTGCGGACTGGAGTGAGCCTGTGTATCGGCGGACAAGTCCACCACCACCACTGTTGTTATTCAGATACTCCTGTTTGGCCCACCGGGTACGGGTAAGACCTTGTTGGCTAAGGCCGTCGCTACGGAGTCTCGTGCCTCCTTCTTGAGCGTTAAAGGTCCCGAACTGCTCAGCATGTACATTGGAGAGAGCGAGAAGTGAGCAGCTGTGGAGGCGCTGTTGCTGCTGTGGGGCTCTTTGACTCTTTTCGTGGCTTCCTGTTCGACTCGAATATTTCACGGCATGTCGAGGTTTATGTGGGGAATGTCTCTCTGCTCCAGGAACGTCCGTGATGTGTTCCAACGAGCTTTAGAGAGTCGGCCTAGCGTGGTATTCTTCGACGAGGTGGACTCGCTTGCTCCACATCGTGGTCGAGGAAGCGACAGTGGAGGTAGCCAGTGCAGTAGAGTCGTCTCGATGAAAGCTCTTGTGGATGCTCTCAGGCGTGATGGATCGTGTGGTTGCCAGCCTCTTGGCTGAGATCGATAACTTGCCTCCAGACGTTATAGTGAGTTCATGAATGCCTCCTTCGGCATGCTCCCACCACCTGCTAGGTGATTGCGGCCAGCAACAGACCGGACCTGCTTGATCGGGCACTCCTAAGGCCCGGCCGGCTTGACAGACAAGTTTATCTAGGAGTACCAGACGACAAGCTACCGTTACTTGAGGCTATCACAGCGTACGTGTGAGTCAGCAGCTTGGCATCTTTCAATAGAGCGATGGCGAGTAGTCGTGATTTTAGGCACATGACACTGTCGGATGAGATGAAGGACTCGCTGAGGCAGATGGCCGAGTTGGTGCCGGCAACCTTCACAGGTGACGTCTCTAGATGCAGTACTCTTCACGTGACTGGAATGAACGGGCTCAGGTGCCGACATTGCGGGGGCCTGCAGAGCGGCTCACATCAAAGCCGTCAAGAGACAAGCCGCCGAATTGGATCTCATCGCGAAAACGCTGGCTCCTGCTAGAGCTGCGACAGCAGTGGGTTACCGGGCGGGGGCACTTCCGATCTAATGATTTGGCCCGTGGCACAAACGCGCCGTCTCTGATTGTTCACCATACCGCACCTTCTTGTTATCATCACCGCCGCAATCAGGTCCGAGAACTCCAACTGTTGATTGGTGAATACAAATCGCAGAGTCAACAGCCGCCGTCCCAGGAGGAGGAAGATTGCGCTTGCTCTGTGGACACTGTGGATGAAGATGTCTGCAGTGGCCCCCCGAACTACCTCAGGGCAGGTATGTTCCTTTCGTCCCAGTCTATAGGATAGCTCCTGCATTGTAACGGTAGCCTTCCATGTGGCGTATTATAGGTACATGCCACAAGTGTGGCTCACAATGCCTCTATGTCGAATCAGGAGAGCTGGTCAAAGTGAAGGGAGGCGTTCACAGTTTATTAACGGTAGCGGCGGCTGGGCGGCGGTATGATGCCGATCGATCTAGCTTCATGACGATCTCGATAGTGGTGATTCGAGGATGTTGGCAACCTGTCGACTGTAGTCACTTGAGATCTACGTTGTTTCTCCCATGCTCTATGCGTTCCCTCTGTTTCTCTTTCGTACTTATGTTCCCTCTTGTTCGGGCAGGTTACTGTCAGCTTGAACGACTTCAGAGATGCATTGGCTGGCATGTCCCCTAGTGTCACATCAAAGGAACTCGGTCGATATGAACGAATGCGCCGAGAGTTTGCTAATGTGTAATTTTTCTACCGCAGTGTTTCTGGAGCTAATTCACCGTTTCTTGAAGTCCCCCATCATTGTGGCATCACAGTAGATCAATCACCCTTAAAAACAAATACCAACCGGTTAACTCGACAACTGCAAAGTCATAGTAAGGACGCAACCTCAGCGTGAGGGGCATCCGAGCGATGCATGGGATTCTCTATCTTTGTGTTTGGTCGTGTCTCTGCCACTTGCAGAGTAGCGGATGGGAAACAACTTCAAGACGATGAATCGAGCGACAGCACGAGTAAATACTGTCCCTTGCAACTCGCTTTGCAGTACCTTTCAAAGCTAACTCGGGAATAGGAAAGGGAAAATCGTGATGTAGCACTCGAACCCAACGAGCCAGTTGGGGTTCAAATGAGCTCTAAGGTGATGGTCTCATAACGCATGATAGCAGCTAGAGCAGCGATAAATCATCGCCGACAAAAACAATATTGAATATGACCGTCCCTCATACTGGTGTGGACGAAACTTGCATGTTGAATCGACCATCGCGTCGTGAGGCCCTTTACCCCCATGCGATAATACAGAGAAGCGTGGAATACACGGTCAGCGCGTCACGCCACAATCAATGCAGCGACATCCTATCACAGGAGGATCTGGAGGATTAGTGGCTGAGGGGCTGACTCGGATGGTGACTCACCATCCGTGGTAAAATACTATTTTACCAGCATTGGTGAGGATAGCGGCCAGGACAACAACAGCGATGGGGAGGCGAATTACCCCCTCCCCCGAATTATAGATTCTGATATGGCTAGGTTGTAGTATCGGCAAGAGCAGACGCGATGGTATAGTCGGTTCGATTGATTTATCGGCTACCTCAACAAGGATAGTTTCACGCATGCGAACAAAACATGGACCCAGCTCGCGCCACTAGACGCAACGAGAGAACATAGTGAAAATAGCTTTGACAATGAGATGTTCCTCAACAAATGGTAGGATGAGGAAGGCTGTGCCAGTGAGACTCACAGCGGAAACCATTCGTCTTACTGTTTGGAAGCTGCTATTAGATACCCTAGCTCCTAGCCGACGGTAAGCACTAACAGCGGAGCCTCCCAAGCAAAATAAAAAATTCCACCATAAAGTTTGACAAGTGACTGAAATAATACGATTCTGGACATGATACGTGGAATGGGTACACGACAATGGAGCCTCAAAGCTTGACCACTTGGGAGAAACAGATGCGAACAGCATAATCGCTGACCGCCAGTTCCCCTGAGTATGTCTATGGCTCCTCGACTTGCTCGAGCAACATGGCTGAAAAGACCTTTTCATCACTCTCAAAATCGAGTGACGCTACCGTAAAGGCCCATCACCATCACGACAAAGCCGATAGCAACAATGAGAATTTGAAAGACGACAACAAGTTTCGGCGTGGTCAAATGCTGCAGCCGTTTGATCTTATGATAACACGCGACTGGGAAAAAGATTGAGAACTGAACCATACAGAAGGCCCCTATCACGCTGACCAGGCTGCTGACCCTGGGAACGACTATGGCGATGAGTCCTTCGAGAATCACGAGGCAGGTTCTAGCACTTAGACACAGCAACTTTGACTTGACGGTGGACCACTTCCTCCTCTCGCTAAAGTTAGAACACAGCAGATCCATCTGCTTCGCTGTGGGCGTGAACATAACGAGAAAATGCGGAATGAGAACAATCAGAACCACAATATTTATGAGCCAGCCAAATACATCGAGAGACCGGCCAGGTGGGGATAGAGCATCGACGATTGTATCCACTTGTGCTAGCAATGGGCCATAGGCTGCATACCCCAACTCCATCACGGTCATATACACCAACGTGATGAATGTCATCGCTGCAGCTAAGGTCTTTGGGAAATCCTCGGGTTTGTTCATGTGGAAGCACACAGTAGGTGTTGAAGCGGCGAAACCATTGACAAAGAAGTATGTGGCCAAGTTCGACAAGAAGTCAATGGCACTTAGAGGAACAGCCGTGAGATCATCAGGGGCGTCGTCGATCATCTTGTTAACGGAAGCAGCAATTATGACAATCACCATCGCCGAGGACGACAGGACCCCTATAGCCGCGACAATACCAACATCTTTGATCTCCTTTATCCACGAGAAAGGGATGCCGACGAGAGTCCACAAGACGATCCAGACACGCTTATTGAGGACCCCAGTCATCGCCAGACACGTAGATCCAAGGAGGATGAGCATCGCACAGCACACAGAAGCAAGGGTTATGTGTATTATAAACCCGATATAAATCGAAGCAACTCTACCGAATGTTGCTCGGCCAGCTTGCTCGTAGGATCTAGTTATTTCATTTTCGTTATCAGCTGTGAGACGGAGGGTGCGCCACAGAAGGATGTTGGTGTAGTAGACGATAGCAACGGCGATCCCGAGGCCGATGAGGCTACCAAGCCAGCCGGAAGTAACGCTAGTCCGCGGCAGTGCCAGGACGCCGACCCCAACGCAGCTCATCGCTATGGTACAGGCGGCTTTTATCCAGCCTAACCCATCCTGTGGATTTTCGATCTCAGGAACGCTGCTTTTATGAGGAGAATCCATATGATAACACTTCAACTTTCAAGACTGGGGTTAAAAGCCGTGAACATATTGAATGCAAACGACGCAACGAACGCGAATATGAAACTGTCAATGATTTCTTAAAAACCCAAGACATGATTTCAGCTATGGCAGGTTGACTGCTTGACGAACATTACTCACGACGCGATATATCAACGAGAATGTATTGCATCGAACACTTCGAGAATATGGAGGAGAGCAAAGAGCTGTAGTGAATACAACTACTGTTGACATGCTATGAGACGTAACACACCAGTGTTGAAATATATGTTCGCTTTCCTCAGCTGAGTCCAGGAGTTTCCTCGCTAATTAGAGCACTTCACATCGGAATTCGGGTAAAAGTTTACAGAAACTAATGAGAATTACCTCAATTTTCCTCAAAATTTCCACTAATATCACCTACACATGTAGATGATCATGTGCATATTTTCCCCCACACTGTAACACACATACACATTCCCGGCCCGCCTCCGGACCTTGTAGTACGTCAGTGGTGTGACTGTGTCGCGTTTAGTGGTGTAATACCGAAACACACAACGTTGCTATTAAGCCAGGGAGAACGAACGGTTTCAAGCAAAATTTGCGATACCAATGTGCATCAATTCTAACTGGTGAAACTATTGCACTCATTTTACAGGCAGCGAAAGTACATTGAACGTTCAGATAGGACCGACAAAATTATCAGCTGCTTTGGATACCCGTGGAAAACGAGTTTTTCTCTTGTCTAGAATAATGTCGATTAGATACAGAGTTGCATAGACTTCACTCGTCAGACATGCCACCACTCGAAGGCAATAGAGCAACTCCAGCTTTCAAGATAAAATAGATGTTTCAAAAAGTAATGACCAAGGAAGCCATCATAGAGTAGATGCATCGAAGTGTCCCTTGACCGCTTTGATTGCCGAAACTACACAAGCAACGGCATAGCACGATAATACGGCACTATATGCAGATTACCCGACCGCAGTAGCCCACGAGAGAGCTCAGCAGCTTGAAAATCGCACTTATAAAACACTAACAAGCATCAGTTAAAGTGTCGGAATATCAAGTCCTTACTGGTCGATTGCATCGACCTAGGATAGTAAATATCATCAGAGCTCATCGTCCATTTCACCTCAGCTCTCATAATCCGGTGGGTCATTGCGTCACTGAAACAGCCAACGCCGAGGCGAAAGCACAGTGAGCTCAATCTCTAAAACTGCTACATCATCGGAGACGCATCAAACAAGATGTAACAATCTACGCAGCGAGAAACACAGATGTAAGTCGCTTCAGCTTCCTGAATACCTTCGTGTCGGCAACTCTTAGCACTACCTAGAACACTAGATGGTACCGGTAGCAACTCTAGAGAGCCTCAGGTATTCCAAGGAGTCAGACGTAGGACAAAAGTAGATAGAAGAGGTTTTCCTCACTATTTATCGGAGGGAAGTCAAGCTTTATCATCACTCTCGCTGTTCACATTATCCCTCAGTGTGGTGCATGGCTTCGTTTTCCACATGTGTTCTTTTTCAGAACAGGTCTGTGTAAGAAGGTATAATCATCATAGGGAGTTTATTAGTTACAAGTATCAGACAGTACGAACACCTAGGGTGGTTTATCATCATCATAATCAGATGACACGCATGAATATGTAATCAATCATCATCCACAAAGACAGTATTAGTTTGTTCAGAGCAAAATCTACCGCACCAGCTGGACAAAATCGATCACTCAATCTATAGGCGAGCGCGACTCGCAAAGCTTAAAATCGCTTATAGATTGCGCTATCGTGAGGAAAGATTTGGTTTGCGATGTGTATCACCTGTTTCCCCTCGCTAAACCGTTTGAGTTGAGTTGAGTTGAGTTGAGTATCACCTGTTTGATTGCTGGTATGAATTTAGGCTGTCCCTCCTGAGCTGCACGATCAGTGTGCAAGACTCTCTCAATACAGCCGTAAAGCGTTGGAGGTACTCAACGTTCCGCTCTTCGGCTTATTGGAACACGACATTCCTTCGCACACTCTCAATGCCTAGGATTTGCGATGATGAAAGAATATCATTTGGCTTAATCTTTTCTGTCTACCGTTATCAACGGGACATGGAGACTACTTGATGACGAGACTGAGCAAGTACAACATACATATAGTTCTGTACATAAATTATGAATGCGAAGAGTAAATCCGCTATAGTAGTTGGCCGTGGGGAAACATCAATTCTCAGAATGATAACTTTTTGGCAATCCAAACTAACAGGATGGGAAGTTGGGACCAGTGATTGGGTACGAACGTTGATGTTCCCATCAGACGGTATATGATTAAAACTCTCGACGATATATCAATAATTCCGTAGAGATCTACAGGGTGATGCAATGCAAAATGGCTACCCTGGTAATTTCGAAACACGTATCAGTACAAACTACAGATAACATATTGAAGTTCTCGGCGAGACCTTTTTAATGGTACACTGTGAACGAGAAGCTCCTGGCATACTGCTACGACCTAGACACGATGCCGTCGAGCCCCTACCCAAAGGAAGACTCTCACCGTGGTTTCCTCGGCATGCACCACCGCGCGGATATATATTCTTTTCTAAAGTCAATACAGCACTCGAGATAGCGAACGTCACGGTCGTGAATATGCCCCCAAGCTCTGTTGCTATCGCCCTCCCCGCAATCCATGTCGGGTGCAGTGTAGAGTCTACGAATTGAAACAGTATTCTCCGAGAATACTATTGCTTCAATGAGTGCTTCGCTCCGTCGGATTGTCGTTGCATGTTCTACAGTTTTGATCACCACCGTAGTAGATTTTCCTCATCATCTTCTCCTCCTATCATGCACACTGTACCCTCATGGGCATCAGCACTAGACGAGCCGTCCTCTCACACCGGCCCTTCCGACGGCGATTGCCTGCGTCGCATCCTACACCGACTAGAGTCGAACATACCTCAAGCCAGGAAGGTCGAGCTGGAGGATATCCCCAACCCTCCCTTGCCCCGACTCTGGCTCCGATGCCTGGGCCATGCCCTCACTCACAATACATGCTGTAGAACTCTGGTGCTTAGTGGATGTGGACTAGGTGACCAGGAGGTGAGTCGTATTCTACCGACATCGCAGTACTCGTTGCCAGACTATAGCCTGAGTTTAGATTTGCTCTCATTTGCGAGTCCAACTTCTCGGATCAAATTGTGGTCAAAAACACCGCGATAGATCATATCAGGCTCGATTGCTATGCACCCAGATGGGCCGTTGGTCGAGCCTCCGTCACTTCGCGTTAGATCACAACCATCTAACTTGCAAAGGAGTCCATGCCTTGTTCACTCAACTAGGCAAGGCCCCAATGACCGTAGGGTAACGATGTGGCCCTTCCCGCTGAAGACCCTTCCCCTCAGGGCCTCTCCCTCGAGACTTTCGATTTATCCTTCAACAGAATTGGTGACATCGGTGCGAGGAGAATAGCGTTGAGTCTCGTTCAACACAATAGCTCCATGGTGATACCCAAGTCACTCCACCAAGGCTTGCTATGTCGGTAGGGTCTTGGGGTGAGGGAACTGATCCTGAGGAGCAATAGGATAGGAGATTGGGGAGCTGGATGGCTCAGCTTGGTAAGCTGGGCAAGGGTTGGTGTGACCTAGAAGGAACTCGGGGATTTGCGAATGGAGTGGTACACCCACTAGACCATATTAGATAGGCGAAAACTTATTATTTTCTCTTGGCAAGATCTTACTAGGGAGAGGGAGAGGCTCATCAGTGTGGAAGGTGTTGGTAGGTAGTGAGGAACTCAGGAGTTGCCGGTTGCTCGCTGCAGCTACTCGACGTGTCCAAGTGAGGACAGATGATCAGCCTGCCGGGTTCGAACATGGGTTGTTCCTATGTTAAACGCCCAGCTAACTCGCCAATCAAAGCTGCCGTTAGGAACCTCGATATTACACTGAGTGGGGGTCTAGCCGAGCTCAGCATGGCCTGTCGACAAGCCAAGCAGACGTTGGAGCTCGATGGTGTGGTGAGTCTAGTCCTCAGACTTGGAGGCCGATGCCCTCACAGGTCGTTGCAGTTGGTTCGGGGGGCCTCACTCTGAAGGTCTCTTTAGAGCGCCCTAGGTTGGATTCATCCAGCCAACTCCCCAATACGAAAGATACTTCCGTGAAGGTCCTCAAGAAATCGCCCTCTCGGGGACTCATCGGCCAGTCGGAAGAACGTGGGTTCGGGGCGAGCCTTTTCCCATAGGCTTTGTAACTCTCTGTGGTGAAGTCATTGGTGATGGTAGACTCGGAGCTGGTCCGCACTCTTCACATTTTCAAGCCTTCACATGTTGCTGCCCACTCACGGCCCCTCCCAGCATCGACAGGTATTCTCCTCGTCCCTCACTCCCCCCGCAGAGAGGTCTCAGGTGGTCCCCACAAGAACCCAAGTCGGAGGCCGCAGTCAGGTGCTCACCACCAACCGCAACGATATTAATGATCGCTAGTCGTCCTCTTGGTAGCGCCTCTAGCCTCGACACGTGCGAAGGCCGATGGTAAGGAACATGAACTAGAGGTAACTTGATAATGAGAGCATCATCATCATCATGGTCTCCGTGGCCCCTCGACGTGACACTGCCTTGAGTTTAAGAGTCTCCAATGAGCGCTCCCTCGCAGCTCTCGTTTTTGTTTTCTTGTTTGACGTCCTACGCCTAGGTAGGCAGCCTTGCATTGGTCAGCGAGAAATAGTGGAGTTTCACTCTAGTGAGAAATATATTTCACGACT